ATTTCAATTAAAACATTTTAATAAATAGATGTTGGAAGCTATTCATATCTTTTAAGTTCTCATCCTTGCATTATAATATATAGAGCGGTTCATATTTTGATGGTATCACGTGGTAATGCTCCATCACATGTTTTACATCTTTTACACAGTGAATATTCAACTGAAGTCCGAATTTTTTAAAAAAAAACATTTAATCTCAAATCAAATCGCCAATGTCAGAAAAATCGCAATGACATATTTTCCCATATTTTCCCCAAAACGTTCAGCCCCAGTTTGAACCCGGCAGGCTGCCCCGGACAACCCGGAAAGAAAAACAACAAAACCCTACGATAAACAAGAGCAGAATACGCGCACTCCACACAGAGGTTCCAAGTCGGGAATCGAACCCAAGGCCTTCTTGCAGTCACGCACAGGTGTTACCGCCTGCCTTATATAGCCTCCCGCACCTCCGATTATAGCACGGTTAGGTACATGCGGTGAGAAATAAGTTCAACATACATACATTATATTGTATATTCTTTTAAGGCTGTTATTGCCAAATGTGTAGCATGAGTTATTTTTTTGCCTGTGGCCCATCGCCAAAAAACTGATCACAAAGTGATATTTAAAGCACGTTTTCAAATCAAGCACACCAATAAGTCTCGAGGGACATACAAAAAACTCCCACAATATTCATTCACAACACCTTTATTTCATCGTTCAAGTGAATACGCTACATAGCGTTCTTTCTCTTCATCTCTGCAAGAAGAAAAAAAATTCTGTCCGGACTTTAAACTGCCGAGGACACATCGAGAGAATTAAACACACACAAAAAGATCAATACAAACCAACCTGCTGTACCCACACATTGCATTGGCGATTAAAACGAAGCAGCATAAGCATCGATTAATGCCACATGGTCGAGAAATGTACACGGTGCAAAGCACCGTCATAAAACCTCAAGATCCTCCCAACACCGTCGTGTCCCGCCTCGCTGCGTCGTGCCCTGAAAATGCCCAGTTGTGTCACACGCTCCCTAACATCCAACCACTCCCCCCCCCCCTGCCATGTGCCTGCCATGCCCAATGAGAACGATCCCACCACACACCTGTCGTGCCCGCCCCCTGTAGCAACTTGCTTCGCCTCCGGCACCCCGTAACACCGCCCCTTCGCACGTGTCGCCCGTGCCCATTTCAATCCCAGCCACAAGATTGCAATTTATCGCCACGTCAAAGACTCGGGAGGTCTCAAGATCAGACTGGGTGTTGCCACCAAAAGGGGAAATGCTATAACGTAGACTAATAGCACATTCACTATTTCTTTTGCAGCTCTGCGTAATGGGGCTGGAATAATTAAATGTGACTATACGTAAAACAAACAAAAATCGGCGTTGGTTTATCCCATCCAGGTCGTGAGGCTGGGGTTTGTCTTGCCGGCATTCGGACAGTGGGGTTATCAAACGCCATTGGTCCCGGCTTCCCCACTCCCCTAGTCCCACTCATGGCACATAGAACATCTTTATTTACGTGAACGATTTTCACTTAAGTTATCGACAGCAGCGGACACTTCCCGCCTTTGGCTGCCAACCTGTCGTTAGTCTTGATCACCGACAATCATTCATTCCGGCGACATGTTCTGGATACGCCCACTTGCTTTACTATGCACCATTCAATACTAAACGTTCCTTAATGCCCATTATCCTAGCTTGACGGGATGTACAAAATCATGCTCGGGAAGTAGTAGGACACCCCTGTGCACCTCCGATTATCAGGGTTGGCTACGTACGGCACGAAAGGAGTTCAACATACATACGTTGTCTGGAGGACCCAAAAACGATCCGCAGGTTAAAAAGTATAATGGTGGCAGCTGTTAAGGGAGTTATTCGAGTGTCCAGAACTACACGGCGTTGGGATGTCCCTCTGATGTCCCCACTTCATAAGCGGCTCAGTCTCGATCGAGTGTAGGATGTGGTCTAGTGACACATCATTAGACCACAGGAACCTGCCGAGTCATTCGTTAGGAATTTATTCTGCACTTTGACCGTGTAACGGGCGACACCGCCCCTGAAAAAAGCCTTTCAACACCACCCACAGGTTGAGACATGCTGGGTCAGGATCTACTTTGTTGGCATATAATAATTTTTCACTACCCCTAAGCCTGTTAACTAGCAATCCGATTTCATCAAACTCGTGTTCCATCACGCAATAATATATCTTGGGGCTGGTCTTTAATGCGTAACTTGACTGGCTAGAATTAGTCTTACAAACATTAAATCTTTTCAATCCATTCGAACAAGCCTTCTGAACAAGCAATATTATTTTGGACTCTTTGAATGCAATTGGATCACAAAGAAATAGTCAAAAGACATCGGATTTTTTTACACTAATTTTTCCTCATGCAATCCAATGGATATGGGATGTTATTTTCAATTGGCTATTTAATTTCACATGCAATGCTATACTTAAACATGCCGTTTCAGATACATCTCAAGATATATTTAATAAAACGATACGAACAAATGGTTTGCTTAATATGAAAATTCCCAGGAATACTAATATCCAAATGGAGTTAAATACAACTAATATCTTCAACATGCACTCGGACTTAAAATGCAGCTGGTCTTCTTAAAAATAAAACTCATAACGTTGGGGCTTCTCTCTGAACCCCAATTCCTTGGAAAGCCTTCAATTCAGTGCTACTTGTCCATATAACATCGCCGACGCAAGGAGACTCGGGTAAAAGCAAGCAGTTTGGGTGGTTCGAGCCAATGAGGATTGCAACCCAAGTGAGCAGGAGTCGCACGAACTTCACAAAAGTTTGTCAACGAATGCAACAATGTCCCATCTCGGTCTCACTTGTATTAAATAAGGAAATGCGCACACACACGCAAACTAACTTCTCCCACCACAACGATCCCTCCCCTCCTGTTAAAACTCCATAACCGAAAAAAAACACAAAACTAAAGTCCCTTGGAAAATCAAACTATTGAAAATGTGATATTAGCACACATAACACATATATAAATGTATTCCTTCAAACGATTCCAATCAATCGTTTTAGTTTCAATGTTTGGAAGCGACAGCTGTTCACCAAATTGCTCAGAACGTGCACGGCTAGCAAACCTTAGTGCAGTGAACTGGTGCTACTTAGAAATTGTCGCGTCCCTTCGTTCCGCTTCTCAAATACACCCACAACACAACAAAGCGGATGCAGCACCTCGCCTACAACAACAACGTGAAAAGATAAAAATGTCAGGACAAACTGTGGATAAAGTGGCACTATCACCATAAGCTATCAATAACATCAATAACACGAAACGTCTCCGCGCGCAAGAGATTTTGATAAGGCGCTTCCCTCCTAAATTAGTAGGATTCTGAACAACTCTAAAGCCTCCGAAATCGGGATGTCAAGTAAAGGTTACCACACAATTTGGCAGCGCGAGTGTATAGCTAACAACAGGATTGTTTTAAATTGGCATCACCTTAAAATATTAAGGCAAGTAAAATCCCAATTCCCCACACCTCACCCAATACCCTTAAACTCAAAACGTCCACCACCACTTATCAAGTAAAGACACAAGGACTGCAACAGGCCTGGTGAATGCAGCCTTCACATTTTACCAAAAGTTAATGAATAATAATCACATTTCACAGGTTGTCGGAGTTGGAGTGAATAGAGTTTTCCATCAGTTGTGTTCAAGGCAAACACTCGCTAAAATGAGGCCTGCGTCCAGGGTTGGTGTGGTATTTCTTGCTCATGAAGGCCGTGAAAGCACACTCATGGGCAGTGATGCTCACTAGAAACAGGAGGATTATAGGATGCATTCCCCCCCCCCCCCCCCCCAGGATCTTAAAGTGAAATCCAAGGATGCATCTCATAATCCAGATCATACGTTGTGTTCCTGTGTTCTCCTGGAGGAAGTGTTTTAAACTAGTTGTTCAGAATCATCATCTAGATGTTCCGCCACAGCAATGCGTGACCACCCAGAGGACAGGAGACATTTCCCAGAAGACATCTCCCCATTTTAAAGCAGCACATTCATAACCATCTCATGGAAGATGGCTCTCAATGGCAATACTGTTTTCTCCTGATTATACATCACTTTTTTCCCCAGTGTACACTATATTAATAACGTTATATTTTACACCCTTGTTTTCAGCTTCCAGAGATGATGTATTTTCTGGAAGAAAAAAAAAACTATATTTCAAAAGGACTCCAAAGTTTGGGGTGCGTCTTTACTTTCCAGAGTTTAATGATCTGGAGAATATGGTCATCTTCAAGACTGCATTTGCAGATTGGAGCATTATAAGAGTAGGTGGTGATAAAACCAGAGGCAACACTAAGTATCTGTTAACAAAGAGAGATCTAGGAACACCATCCCATATTGTTTTTCCCCCATTTATGTTCAAGCGTATGGTGTACGTACATGCACGTTAAAGTATTTCTCACTTCAAATGCACTTGTACACAGAGTCAGATTGATAAGTGTACCATTTAAATATCGGATAACCTTGTGGTGGGGGCATGTAGGAATCCCAGGTTGCATGCCCCATTATTACAATGAAAACAATGAAACTTGGGATTTAAAAAAAACTATTAAGCTATTTTTTATTTTACTAGGTAAAGCCCACTGAGCTATATAGGTATCTTTCAGTAGCGACGTGGCCACGAATGATAGCTCAACGAAGCGGCTCATCATGTGGACATTTACAGCAGCCAAATATTCAAAACGCATGTTTTTAAATGTGGAAGGAAAAACCGGAGGACCCGGAGAAAAATTAACGCGACCACGGGGAGAACATACCAACTCCAAATATACAGGCGTCAGGAACGGGATCAAACTCGCGACCTCCTGCATACCAGGCGAGGTAGTTAACATCTCACCACCGCGGCGAGATGCGTGCCACACCAAGTGACCATTACAGAATACATTAAGCTTCACGTCACGACCATAACACCCTACCAACACCTCCCCCCCCCCCCCCCCCCGGGACCCTCTCATCTCCCTTTTGCAGCCCTTGCTACCACAGCGGCAGTGGTGGCAGCTCAGCTCTTGACGTGGTTGTTCTGGTTGTGGTTTGAAATGCTCTTCTCCAGCCCAAACAGCGCCAGGATGTCGAGCATCGCCTGCTTGATGGCCCCCCCGAAACGGTGAGAGTCCTGGGAAGAAAACGGCGTTCAAAATTGGTAACGGCGACATTTAAAAGTCGGCATCCTTTCCAACAGGATCGCCTCCGGTGTGTTATCACAGTAACCCTAAAGGGGCTGTGAATGAACTACAGGGGGGAAGTCATAAACGGGCCTCAAATTTGCACCAAGATAAACAATTGAGGAAGTGGTTTACAACTGTTTTTGGACTGGTGCTGTCACCCACCACCCCAACTCCCAATCCATATCGTTGGTTCCTCCCCATTCTGACCACTTTGCTGTTATCCCACTTAACCCTTTTCCGTTCCGTGGGGTCTGCAAGTTGCAGGGTGGGTGTCCCGTTCACCACTGAATCTCGGAACGCGCAAGAGGTCAGCGTTAATTTTACATAGAGGTGTAGCGCCGTTGTTTTTAAAGACATTGTACTCGCCGCAGAGAACTGTCGCGACACGATCGCACTTTACGATAGCCGGTGCCAAACTGTGCCGCACGGCCTTGTGGGAACCTCGGTACCGATGATGTAATTTTATTTTAGTTTTTCTTCAGATTCCAGTTCGGAACATGATCGCAAGAAAAACCAACGGACGTATGCGTACATCATCGGAATGGTAAATGTTTAAGTGTATTTTTGTTGTTGTTATTATTAACCACTCGGTTTAATAGAACTGCAGCTCATAAGCTCACCGTCTCAGGGCTGGATTTTTTGCTGGAGATGTGGAAGTTGATGAGCTTCTCGCCGAGGATGATGTACGACACGCCATAACCATCATCCGCCACCTCGAAAACGCCAACACAAACGATTCAAAACGTCAAAAACGGGAGCCACGTAAAACTTGTTTTTTTTACTCCCAAAAAAAGACAAGGTAACAGGAAAACCAGTGGTGTATTTTGTTTGAATAAATATACCCAGTAAACACTAATTAAATTGTTTATTCATATTATTATTATTATTACGTTTGTCTACCCAGGAAAACCTCAGGGGGCGATGAAACAATGTAATTCAAGTTGTCATTTTCAATACTAGCTCCAACTGTATATTTTTGTTAGCCATGGGAGACAACTGGAGAAGCCAAGAGGAAAGCCATGCAGAGCTGCCGGACAGACAAACTCCACACGGCGGAATCAGAAAATGTATTTATACCGAGCTATGAAGCTCTTTTCACATATATCCAGTCGGCAAGGTCCTCTGCTTGGGCATCCACAACAGGCCCTTTTCGATAAGACACACAGGTGTCAACAACAACTGTGCCAACCCTTACCGCCATATATGGTTCCAAAACATAGAGCCGGGTACTCCGTGGCATTTCTACTGGTACCACAACGCTGTCAAGATTGGCCTATGGTCGGAGGGGGCTCATGAATGACGCTACCACAATGGGAAGAGGAGGGGGAAGACGCTCAACAACGAGCAGGGCACTGGGGCAGCTAAAACAAAGTCAACAAAGCGCAGTGGCAAGCGCAGGTGGTGTACCCAAATCCTGTCTCGTGACCCACTAGGGAGACTGACACTTCACGTGGCCTCAAAGAGCGCCGAGCCTTGTACAAGAAAGCGTTTTTTTGTGGGTTTCCGTTCATGTGCGTAGGAGCACTCACAGGTCCAAAACCTCCCCCAGATGACACGTGGTCAGGGAACTTGTTCAGGTCAAACAGTTCCATCTGCTGCTGTGGCGTCTGACTGGTGGAAAGGCGCCACGGCTCCGACAGAACCTGCACACAGGCACACAGACAGACGGAGGTGCACATGAGGTTACAACGCACACCAGAAGTTTCAGTTCTTTGGAGGCAAGGGTTGGTGGACCACATAAGGTGCCTGATACGACCAAATATGCTGGGCTAACAAGGTGCGTTCCAGATGGCAGAACAGCAAATGGCTTTTTTGTGAACCCTAACTTTGATGACACCATCTTGAACTGCCATTGCCAAAAGTACCAATCATATCCCAACAGGCATCCTCAATGACTTTGTCACGTGGATGCTTCCCAGTGCAACGCTTGCATCAACACTGCATTGTCCCTTCTGCGTCATTTTATTCTTTAATAATTTCACCATTAGGGAAACGAGTTGTGCATTGTTTTTTTGTCCAGTTTGAATACATTTCTCTACATTGCTGCATCTAAGAGCTGAACGTCGTGGAAAGTTCCATATTGGGGATAACATTCTGCACAAGAACCGCAAAAACAAGAACTTTAAAAATGTAGTTAAATCTTGGGTGTCTGGCCAAATTAAAACCCAAGACCTCAGCGAGGGGTGGCAACATCGCCCATTTGCAGATTGTTGCAGAGGTTTGCGATTCGAGCCCACAGCCGCCCTGGTTAATACTGCGGGTGTATTAACCATGAATATACTTCCGCGTTTGCTTTGCAACGGACATAAGGGATCCTGTGATGTAATAAAAAAAAAAATTGTCGGCGACATGAGCTGGTGTAATGGTCCGAATTTATTTAAACGAAAAAATGTGTAGTAATGGTCATCCCCTGCTGTAAAAACTTACCGAGGTGTTCTCGGGCGAGTGAATGTCATAATAATAACAATAACAACAGTGTTGGTGAAGTGCTCCAGACACAGGCAGCTTGTGCCGCCTTCCCGGTGTTAAAGCGAGGGTCTTGGAGGTACCTCCTTGAGGAAGGGAGAGTCCTGCCCGAGGTACTTGGAGACGAGGTAGAGACAGAAGAGGTGGCGGTCGATGCCGCCGCCCGTCATGGCGAGCCGGTACATGCTCTGGTGCTTCTCGGATCCTTGACGGAAGAGAGCCAGGCGGTCCTCCTTCTACGGGCACACACCACCATCTCCGTCAACGTCTATTGTGGCTGGGATGTAAGATGTTAACTACTTTTCCTGGTATACAGGAGGTCGTTGGTGCAATCCTGATCCTGACGCCTGCGTTTGGAGTTTGCATGTTCTCCCAGTGGTCACGTGGATTTTTCTCCAGGACCTCCGGTTTTTCCCTCCACATTTCGCAACGTTTTAGAGTATTCGGCTGCTATACATTTCCACATTGATAAGCCACTTCGTCGAGCTATAATTTGTGATAGCCAGGTCGCTTCTGAAAAAGAAATACTATATAGCTGTGAGCCTCACCTGGTAAAAATAATTTTTTTTTAAAAAGATTATAATTTAAGATTCGTCAACCCTGAAAAATCCACTCCGTATTCTTCAAACAAGACATTAAAGATCCCCTCCCGATGTAATTTTAAATCGAGTAGCTTGTCACAATCCAAATTTTCTGAATTCGAAAAAAAATTACTCGCAAATGACACAATTGGGAATACACGGAGCAGCAATCATCGCCCCCATACTAATGCCCCGCTTGCAGGCCAGAGTCAATCTTGTGCCGCATAGCAACGGCTGACATTAGGGTTGGTCCTTCTAAAAGGTGTTTAAGATATGTATGTAGATCTTATTTCGCACCGTACGTAGCAAACTGTGCTAATCAGAGGTGCGGGGGAAGGACGGCTAAACACAACAAGCAGTTCTAAAGAAATTCGTTTCCAATTTAGATTCAAAAGTGCATAGCTGCAATGGCTTCCTAATATCGAGATAAGATGCGATGCAATTCGCTTATCGTGAGCAAAGTACTCCGAGACTCCTGGCTGTAAATGATTATTATAACCTTCACAATTATTAAATGCCAGTAGCTTGGGCAGCGCCTTTGGCAAGGTCTTGTCAGCACGAACATGTGCACAGAAAGGGCGCAGTGCGCGCAGAGGCTCACCCTCGATTGGTTCTTGAAGTAAAAGCAGAACGCAGGCTCTACCCATAACCGCGAAAGGACCAGCTTTGTGGCGAACGACGCACTAATAGTGACCTCTCGTGGTGACAAATGGTATAGACACGCATTCTAAACCATAACTTAACAATATTTTATGTTACCCGGTAAGGCCCACTGAGCTCTGTAGCTCTGTTTCAGAAACGACGCGGCCAAAAATGAGAGCTCAATAAAGTGGCTGATCATCATGTGGAAATTGACGACAGCCAAATACTCCAAAAGCATGTTTCTAAAATGCGGAGGGAAAAACCGGAGGACCCGAAGAAAAATCCATGCAACCACGGGGAGAGTGTGACACGCAAACTCCAAATGTACAGGCGTCAGGATCCAGATCGAACCCACGATCCTCCTGTATACCAGGTGAGGTAGTTAACATCGCCACCCTTCAATCTCCTAATTCAATGTCTCCATTTCCATTGCGAGAAAAGGCCTGTTCTCTTCATGTCAATTCATGCTTGATTTTTTAAAGGCTTTTTAATCTTGAACGCCAATGTGCTACTTAATTTTTTGAGTTGTAAGCATATTTAACTAAACTGATACCATGGGCAAGAGAAGGGCGAGGGGCAGAATTAAGCAACAGGAGCGAATATGGGATAAGGAAAATACCTCGGCAACTGAAAACTGATTTCCATCATATCTCATCTCAACAATCCCAAAGGAATGCGTCAATCTAGCTAAGGAGATCCCCCCCCAATGGCAGCTGTCCCTGTGTGGTAAAAGGTGTACCCGTAAGGTCAGCCTACAAGAAATCACTGACCGTCTGGCTTGGGGATGATGGGTCAGAATAGGGCAGATTAGGTCAGGATGCATCATGTTGGGTCAGGATGGGTCAGGTTGAGTCATGATGGGTCAGGTTGAGTCAGGATGGGTCAGGATGCATCAGGATGCATCATGTTGGGTCAGGATGTATCATGTTGAGTCAGGATGGGTCAGGATGGGTCAGGTTGAGTCAGGATGGGTCAGGATGCATCATGTTGGGTCAGGATGGGTCGGTTGGGTCAGGATGAGTCAGAATGTATCAAGTTGGGTTAGGATGGGTCAGGATGTATCAGGTTGGGTTAGGATGCTGCAAAATGGGCCAGGATTGGGTGAGATGAGTCAACATTGGGTGGTATAAGTCAGCATGGTTTGGGATGGGGCAGGATGTGGCAGGGGTTGGGTCAAGATGGGTTAGGATTGGTCGAGTTGTGTCAGTATCGGCCAGGATAGGGCAGAATGGGTGAGGATAGATCAGGCTAGGTAAGGATGGGTCGGCATGAGGCAGAATATAATAGTCGTGCAGGGTGGAGTGGGCGAGGCAGGGGGCATTCTGGCGCACCGTGCAGGAGGGATCCTGCATGGCGCGGGCAAACTTGGTGGACTCCACCGTGCACGAGCGCACGGTCTCCGTGCGGCCCTCCTTGAAGAGGCGAGTCATGGACGCCTCGTACGTCAGGCAGAAGCAGCCCTTGTCCTGCAAATGCACACAAACACACAGAGCACAGATGGAACAATAAGCGACGTGAAGAAGAGCTTCATGGCTCATCGGTTTCCTCCAGTAGAAATGTTCCGATTCTGATTTGTGTTGTGTGCGACAGAAGTCAGGAGGATCCGAAGAAACCCCACATATGCAAGAGGATAAACTCTAAGATACAACACAATTAATACCATTAAAGTGCGTATCTTACGTAGCATCTAATTGCGAACGCATTTCAAGGACACTATTCACAAACCCGATTGATGCACCGCCATATTCTGCCCACCGAATATCCCAGGCGGTGTAGGAATTCATTTCACAACTCCACTGCATCCAAATCCACGGATGTCCATAAGGCATGCCTGGGCAGGGGTGGCGACGGTGGCAACACTCGTGCAGAGAAGAACCCGAGTTCAACTCCCGATTCTGGCTCCTCTCTGTGCGGCGTTTCTAAGTTCTTCCCGCTGTTCCGTATGGATCTACCTCCAGGTCCTACAGTTTTCCTCCCCACAGCTAAAAACATAAACAAACAACAAAAATAACCCCTTCCTTTAAAACGGTGTTGGCCTAACACCTCAATGCAGGACGCTGCTGAAAAATACTCGACAGACTCGGCGTGGTGGTTCCTGGGACAAATCGCGCGAGCGGAGCGGGTCCTCATCTCAGCGCAAATGGCATCTCACCCGGAAGTGTGCCAGCTGCAGTGCCAGCTGGATGAAGGCATCGGGGCTCGTGCGGCACTTCTTGATGAGGCCCTTGCCAAACTCGTGGAATGGAAACATGTGGAAGTCGACGTCATCCGCAAGCGCTTGTGCCACCGCCAGCGAGTTTTCGATCACTGTCTGGCACTGCAAAAAACAAACACAAACATCCCCCCCCGTTATAGCCTTTTAACCGACTGTTCGGGCAAAGACTGCAAGCGAGGAGCCACCTGCGAAGGTCGGTACGGCACACGAAGGGGGTGGGGGGTGTGGCCAGCACCACGTCCGGCCGCCTTTGTCTCCCCAGTGGCGATGTTTACACATCGCACCAGGTACTGCATTTTGACCTACGGGAGGGCCCAGGACCAGTTCAGATAATCGTCACTGGCGTTGGCTGCGAGCAGGAATGGAACTCGGGTCGCCGGGTTCGTAGCGCACTGCATTCATATGCGCACACACACATACGTGCGAGCAAGCAGCATTCAACACAAGCACAAAGCCACAGGCACAACAATAACAACAGCCACCGTTCGCTAATAAGTGACGGTGATGTTGACATGGTACTTGGCCAAATCTCGGTGGACATTGAAGCTCTCGTATAAAGTGTCAACGGCTCGCTGGCAGGAGATCACTGGACAGACGAAGGGCGTTATAGGTTAATGGACCAAGATGATTGGCAGATGAACCATCGATGCTGCCCGCTATATTGCTGCGACACACCGAGGTTAATGGAATCTTCCAAACTATGAGGAACAGTAAGCAGGCATGGGCAAGAAATGTCAATAAAACGTATGGTTGATGGCCAAAAACAATAACATCAGAGTGGCAGCCAAGGAATCGAACGTGTTCAAAAGGATGTCCAAAGGAGATTTAAATCAATCTGTGCGCAGAACGATTAGACGGCAGGATCATGAGTGGTGGCAGCAGATTGGGGATGCCTTCGCCCCAGCAGTGGATTGACCACGGGTGACAATGATTTCGTGACTACAACGCAAAGTGGTGCACACGACAACAAACCTCAGCTGGTATGTCCCACTGCAAGCGCTGTACGGGCGGCAGGGTTCCCACCTCCCCTCGGCAGTTCCCTTCGTCCGTGTAGCCCAACTTGAACGTGTCTGTGGCGAGCACATACTGGGACATGCACACACGCAGACAGTGTCAAAGCGAGCAGCCTTTCTGATGAAGCATGAAGCATCACAATGGCTTTTAAACAAGGTAGATATAGTCACAATCCTGCATGGATAGCTACTGGCTGCTACCTGATGATGCTGGTTGCAACTATCAACGGAAATGCCATACCCATTTCCTTGTTGTCAGATTGCTCTGCAACAACACACCGGTGTTGCTGCTGAAGCAGTAATAAATTGGCTGCATTTGTTCATCACGTGACAACTCTCTTTGGATTGGCCGTGTCGGGTGGAGAAGGGTTCACGACACACATTTTATTTACCCTCTCCATACACACGGGTTGGGGCGACCACTCACCTCCCAGAGGTGGCCCATGATGGGTGCGTCGGCCCACGAGTGCTCCGCGTTGAGCCCAATGCGGCCGTTCTTGAACACGATGACCGTGAAGGACTTGTCAAACCACCTGTAAGTAAAACACAATTATTTTTCTCACGCCAATTTGTTCGTAATGGCTTGGGGAAACCAGATAAGCAGGAAGGCAGCCAGAATCGGTGCCAGAGATTAACAAAGCTCTGTGGCCCCACAATGAGATGTTCGGCCAACTCCATTCATCGGAGGTTCCGGGGGAGGACATCAAACTAAACACAAAAAGCAGTTCTAAAGAAATTAGTTTTTAATATATATTTAAAAGTGCATAGCTCCAGTGGCTTCCTAACATCGGAAGGAAGAGCGTTCCAGACGGCCGCAAAAGCGCATCCGAAAGTGCACGATGCGGTGACCGACCCTCTTTGTCCGATGGCTAGCCAAAAGCGGCTGCGAGGATTACCGGAGTTCGTGTAATGGTTTATGCTCCTTATTCCGTGTGCATACACGTGGGAGGAAACCGAAGGGACTGGAGAAAGTCCACATGTGCGAGCGAGATAACACTCAATTCCCGAACAGACTGAATAAAGATGGAGATGAATGTGAAACATTACCAATGATGAAAATTATTCTGACGGCCCACTCCCCCTGTACTCACCGGTCGTAGCATTTTCCATGCAGCAGTGACTTGCAGTAGGCGTCAAGCGACCCCGTGCTGTCACCCCGGTAACCCTGTTCCGTGTCGTCCAGTGTGATGAAGAAAGCCGCTTTCTCCACCGCTTGCAGCGCCGTGAAGTTGCGACCCTCTGAAAAGTAGCTTGAGCGAGCCTTTGCCCACGGGATACTGCACACACACACACACACGTGTGCCCGGACACAGGAACGGCACGAACAGCTCCAACATCATGGGGGATAGAGAACGTGGCGCTAATAAACTATACAAATGTAACTTTTTTTTATTTTACCAGGTAAGGCCCACTGAGCTACAAAGCTCTTTTTTCAGAAGCGACCTGCCCACAAATTATCGCCCAATTAAGTGGCTCATTTTGCGGAGATTTATAGCAGCCCATTAGTCTAAACACGTGTTTCTAAATGTGGAGGGAAAAACTGGAGGGCCCAAGAAAAATCCACACGACCACGGGGAGAACATGCAAACTATATATACAGGCGTCAGTTGATGGGAAGGCGTGATGGAGGGCTTGGCCAGGGGGTTTGCTAACCGTTCTCCCGCGGTGAGGGCGGCCAGGTGGTGCTCTCCGGGCTGCGGGGGCGAGGGGTCATCCAGAATGTGCTGCAGCATCTCCTGCAGAGCGCGCGGGCCCAGCAGCTGCCCGCCCAAGTAGAGCCAGACCTTGTAGAAGCGGCCAGCGTGGTACACGCACATGTGCTTGCTGTCGTTTCTGTGCTCGAGCACGTCTGCAGAGGAAGCGTTGGAAGGTGCGAAAGAAAGCTAGTCGATTTGTTTAACCAGGCGACAACTCAAAAGGATGAGGAGAGTCAAAAACAAGTTCGAGTGATTTCCTGCTCGAATGATCATTGAGGCGGTGCTCGTCACCTGTTTGCGGCTCCGAATCAGCGGTGGAAATTTCATTTCATAGTACCTGGTACTCATTTAAAGCAGAGCGGATCTCGGGGAGGCCCAAGAACAGTTGAGATATTCGCTGCTAACGTTGGCCTTAGCCGGGAATCGAACTGAGGAGGCCGAGTTTGCAGAACAGCGCACCAACCACGATGTTACCACTTCCAAGCACGCGTGCACACACACATACCTGTCTCAATGCCAGGTATCCGTGTAGTGTTGAACATGCGCTCGTACTGTGCCGAGCACATTGGAATGGCTCCTTGCACCATCATCTGCATCATCGATCGCAATAACAACACTCGTCAGCGACTCAACCATCACGCTTGAACTTTGCACATTCATGCTCGACAATTCGCTCGTAAAAAATTACTTGTACACATCCTGCCTTGCGTTCTATAAATGGCTGCACAGACTTTTTTTTGCCGTGATTAACGTACGGACACGTGTGAATGTGTGCAATCAAGTTCAGTTATACTCAACGGCTTCATTTCCCACTCTTTAGTTTTTCTTTTAACACTGCTAGGCTGGTTTGCAGCAGCGATTAGCGATGAAAGGCACAAACTACCACTGAAGCCAAAGGCCCGCCTGCCCATAATAACCCTATATTATTGGAACCTATGTTCCTAAAATCCTATGAACAGGCCTATAAAAAAAAAAATTAGATGGGACGAAATAAGACCAGATGGCAAGACGTGAAAATATGAATCCTGGAAGAGCATTCAGGAGTTCTGTCCGAAATAAAGCACTGGTTATATGTCTGCGAGTACAAGCGTAAAGCTTGTAAATGTGTGCCCTGTAACGTGTTTTATCATAATCTCGAAGCCGCCACCACCCAGCCAGCGTCTTACCGGCTTAACCTCCTCGCGGTCCAGCATCCTGCGGTACAGCATCATGGCGTGAATGACGTTTGCCGCACGAGCAGCCTGCACCGTCGTGGGCTTCACGTAGAGAAAATCCTGTGCACGAGCACAAAAACATCCCCCGCCGTATCGCCTTAACAAACTGTAGGAGCACATGCTGTCAAGCAAACACCAGCGCCACACCCAGCCGCCTTTGTTTCCTCAGTGGAAATGTTTACACACCGTAGCAGGTACTACATTTTTGAGGCCGAGTCGACTCGGGGGAGGCCCAGGACTGGTTCATATAATCGTCACTGCTGTCGGCCGTGAACGAGAATCAAACCCCGGGGTTACCAGGTTCGTAGCGCAGCGTGCTAACCGCTACAACACTTGCGCACACAAATCCAAGCATGCACACACAGCCACACGTTTACAATCCACTCACCAACACCATTCATACACAGAACACTACTTTAATCTGACGAGTTATGAACGGTTGTCAAAAATGGTGGAATACATTTTGGAAACCTCTCAATGATTAAACAACAAAAATAACTCGGATGATGCGGAAGGTGGCTCTCATAAGGGACACAAACACTGCCTCAATCCACAATTTTTAGTGTGAAAAAGCCTTGCGTGCGTTCATGTTAAGAGTGCCGCTGGCTTCCTCTCATAAACTGTAAGTACAGGATACGATATGCAAATTGTCATTTACAGCAAACCCTCGTGAAGACGGGTGTAATGATGCGAGGAGAGCTTCCCCGGTCACGGGGCATGTCCCATACACTGCAATTGTGTGAAACAGAGGATCTTGGATGTCTGTGGTTCCACCGCATCTTTACCGTGGCGTAGTAGTTGCTGTTGACCATGATGGGTCCACGCCCACGCAGGTAGATGTATTCTTCCCACCAGTCGCTGACCTGTGGCAAGAAACACCGGTACACGCAATTATTTTTTCAAGGGGGGTGGGGGGGGGGGGCAGGATGGACGCAGTGGTAACACTTACGCCTCGCAGCAAGAAGTGCATGGGTTTGATATCCGACTTTGGTGCGATTCTGTGGGGAGTTGGCGAGTTCTCCCTTTGTTCTGCATGGTTTCCCACAGGGAATTCAAACACAGAATGTGACTGGTGTTGGCTAAACGTCCCAATACTGCAATATTACCTTAAAATACTCAATTGTGGGATTACACACAGGAACGTCAACTCCCGACTGCTCATACGTGGCAGGACCCTCCTGAAGTAGAGTCTTGAGACTCAGTGAGGGCCATTCCTGGCTAAATAAAAGTAATACTAATATTTAACTTGTGGTTTATTATGGGTTTGATATCCGACTTTGGTGCGATTCTGTGGGGAGTTGGCGAGTTCTCCCTTTGTTCTGCATGGTTTCCCACAGGGAATTCAAACACAGAATGTGACTGGTGTTGGCTAAACGTCCCAATACTGCAATATTACCTTAAAATACTCAATTGTGGGATTACACACAGGAACGTCAACTCCCGACTGCTCATACGTGGCAGGACCCTCCTGAAGTAGAGTCTTGAGACTCAGTGAGGGCCATTCCTGGCTAAATAAAAGTAATACTAATATTTAACTTGTGGTTTATTATGGGTTTGATATCCGACTTTGGTGCGATTCTGTGGGGAGTTGGCGAGTTCTCCCTTTGTTCTGCATGGTTTCCCACAGGGAATTCAAACACAGAATGTGACTGGTGTTGGCTAAACGTCCCAATACTGCAATATTACCTTAAAATACTCAATTGTGGGATTACACACAGGAACGTCAACTCCGACTGCTCATACGTGGCAGGACCCTCCTGAAGTAGAGTCTTGAGACTCAGTGAGGGCCATTCCTGGCTAAATAAAAGTAATAATAATAGTTTACTTGTGGTTTATTATCTTTAAAAAGTTTGATTTGGATCTAGATATGTAAATAGCTTCGATTGACTAAACCTTGCCCCATGATATTCCAGTCAAAACCACTATCTCCAAGCCCTGTTTTGTATACTTTGCTTTTATAGACAACTTATAGCAATATTTTAAGGAGCATCTCCAATGTGCACGGTTGACTATGTACGGTGCAAAAGAAGTTCTATATACAGTAAAACCTTGGATTGCGAGTAACTTGGTCTGCGAGTGTTTTGCAAGACGAGCAAAAAATTTTAAGTAAATATTAATTTGATAAACGAGCGAGGGTCTTGCAATACGAGTAGTAACGTAAACGCTTTGTCTGCCGAGCGTCACGTGATCACAACTGATATACGAGTGCTTTGATATATACGAGTGCTTTGGATTACAAACACGTTTCCGGAACGAATTATGCTCGCAATCCAAGGTTTTTTTTACTGTATATACATACATACATAAATAGTGAAATGGGTAAAGTGTGTATTTTCCCACCTCTTCAAAAGACATCCAGCCAGTGTAAAAGAGTAGGTCACATACTCGCTCTAGGTGCTCTCTCAAACTCCCACGAGCAGAGGCCCTTATGCACGAGCAGCGGCGTGAGCAAAAAGCAATTGCAGTGGCTGCACTTTGACCCTTTACAATATTTTCAAAGTTGCGGCAAAACGTTGCGCGACGGTTGAGGTGGCCAGCAAAAAAAAAAAAAACGACTCACGTAGTTTGAGGCCCACCACGACTTAAGCTTCAGGTACCACTGCAGCTTGGGGCCCAGGTTCTTCTCAAAGTCGCGCGCGAGTCCCTCCATGCGCTGGAATTTCTTTTCGTCCAAGAGAGGTTGCACCGACTCCAGGTACTGTGGTGCGCAAAGCAGACCCGGCGGTCACTTTCGAGCGGTACAGAAACGCTCCGGACGAGTGAGCTCCAAATTCTGATTTCGTACGGCCAATGAAGGAGGTACAATTAGAGATTCAGTTCAAAGCGATTTACCTATTCAGTTGTTTTGTCAACGCATTATCCGAGCACTACGCATTACTCTAAGTATCACGCACGCATACAAATCGGGTATATATTTTAAAAAATGTAAACACAGTTGCTGAGCACAGGCCCAAAGGCCTATGTCAAACCGCCAGCAGCAACGGCATTATCACTGTTGTAATATTAAGAGTTAACAAGGTTGTTGAATTGAGCAAGGTTATAGATTAGGCAATACACCGATGGCTTCGTATATAATGCCAAAACGGCTTTACAAACAGAATAAAGTTCGCAGAATTTTTACAAAAATGTGCAAAGGATATTCTTAGTTTTTTTGGTAAAGTCACGTTGAAGAGAAACAACAAAATAACAAAATATATATAAAACAATAAAAAATTATCACGACGTTTCGACCATAACTCAAACGGTCATCATCAGGTGTGTTGGTTTGCATAAATTTATTTTTAAACGGCACATTTATTTATTTATAAAAAACGTTGGCGTCACGCGCAGCGATTTGGCAGTTTGCCCAGGACTAGTCCATCTATTTTTTTTTTTGAAAAGAGGAGGGGGGAGACGAAATTTTTTATAATGTATGCTGTCTGAAAGCCACTGGAAGCGTGAACAATCAATTAAGAACTGAAATGGTTTATCAAATCTTTCCAATGATTGCTAAGATAGAATCCATCTTCTCGGTTGAAATTGTCTCTGTGCTTGTATATGTGGATAGCCTCATGAACGAATCTCTCATGGAAGCCAGATGGCTTACAAAGAACCTCCGTCTTGGAAAAGTCAATGGCATGTGAGCCTACTGAATTAGAACAATGATCTGCTACGGCCGAGGTGTTGGTCCTACCGTGTTTAAGGTCTGCTTTATGTTCACGAATGCGGTCCGAGATATGGCGTTTGGTTTCTCCAATGTAACTACTACCACAGAGGCAACTTAGTTTGTAGACACCAGGGTATTGTATGTCCGGAATCACATCTTTTACAGACGGAACCAGATCACGGATTTTATGTAATGTGTTGAAACGGACCTGGATCTTGTGTTTATTCAAGATTTTGGAGATCTTTTTTGTGATCCCAGCAATGTAGGGTAAAGTGATGGTTTTGAAAGGCTCCTCAAGAGGGTTCTTCTTCATGGTTTGAGTGATAGCTTTGCGGATTGTATAGTCGGAGTAACCATTAGCCCTAAGAGCTTGGTGTACGTGCTTGAGTTCACTGCTTATGTGTTCCTGGTCGGATATGCATTGGGCTCGATGATACAGTCTTGATGAGAGAATTCTTCTGTGATGGATGGTGGTGGGAATCCGGTTTCAGATAAGCATCCGTATGGGTAGCTTTCCTGTAGACAGAGTGGCTCATTGAACCATCAGGTCTCTTTTTAATTAGGACATCCAAAAAAGGTATCTTGCCATCTATTTCGACTTCCATGGTAAATCTGATGGCTGGGTGTATGGAATTGATGTGGTCGAAGAATTGGTCTAGAGCAGGCCGGCCATGTGGCCAGATGACAAAAGTGTCATCCACGTACCTCTTCCATAAGGTTGGGCGCAGAGTGGCAGTCTGGATGGCGTCAGTCTCAAATTTCTCCATGAAAATGTTAGCTATAAAAAACTAAGAATATGAATTACTGCAGTCATGAAAGCTTTAAATCAAAATGTGCAAAGGATGTCAACAACATAAAGTGAATTTCACTTCAGGTGGGACACTTGCAATCCCCTCGGGCAGCATCACATTGTGAGCAGTTGAAACTTCCCGCCAAAAATACAGGGTGCCATCTCATGTTATCACAAGGGGCGCATTACGCGCGACATCATAAGTAATGACGTATGTGGGGATGACATCACATGCAATGATGTCATGGGGGAATTGTGTGACATTATCACGTTGGCCTAAGACTCATTCTTCGTCGCTGGATTTCATCGCCAGTGCATGAACAACGAGAGGGTGGCACGGCCAGGCCAGCACCACAACACCTGGCCGACTTTGACTCCCCAGCACTTATGTATATACACCACACCAGGTACTAATTCATGGTCGAGTTGACCTCAGGAAGGCTCGGGACCAGTTCAGATATTCACCACTTAAGTTTGCCATGAGCGGGAACTGAACTCTGGATTGATGGGTTCATAGCGCAACGTGCTCACCACGTTGGCATTGCTCCCCACATGCATTCGCACAAGTATTCACACACATCCACGTGCGTACAATACCGAACAACCACGGGGGCCACCACTTGGGTACTGAGCTGTGTATGGTCAAATCAAAGCGTAACACGTACGCGACTCATGGTGTCGTGGACAGACGGCACGGGCAGCCTGGGCAGCGACGACTGGAAACTGTAAAGCTGAGGGTTGCGACCGGAGAAGATCTTCACCATCAGCTGCAGGAAGCACGCAGACAAAGGGCCATGATTACACCAAGGCATGCATCCATTAACAAAAAAAACTCTCCAAAGCGTATATATATAAGAACAGGAGAACGGGAGAGACCCGATTGGATGAGTGCCGTGAGAGCATTTAGTTCTCACGCCGGTTCTCTGCTGTCGCCCCCTCGGTGTGGAACTCTGATGTTGGTCAAAATATGGCACATTATAAATATTATTATTACAATAAAATGTAAGGCCCGAGAGGGCCGTCGACACGGAGTACCAGAGGGGATTTGAACTTGGCATCATCAGCAGTATAGACTTAATACCTATGACAAGGGGCATCATGAGACCCAAGCCACAGTTATAAACTTTCGGCAGAGAGTGTTAAGCAATTCCAAATCAGGAAGATTATAAAGTTCAACATTACGTTGTGTGTAATGGCCGATCGCGCTATGTGCGGCACTCGTTCATTGGCCGAGTTTCCATGGGAGTGCGAAAGAAGCGATCTCGGCGAGCCTCACAATCCACAGTTTGGTGGCGTGGGAGATGCGTCCGTGGGGCTGGAACATCCAGCCATGGTAGGTGAGCAGACCCTTGAGTGTGTAGCGCATGGTGAGGATGATGGCTCCCCACAGGCCCGAAGCAAACAGCACCGCGCTCAGCATCTCCTTGTTGTGTGGCGAGATGAGGCCACTGTGCACAGGCAGGCACACAAAGCATGTACACAACACACAGGGCAAACAAATACAAACACGAATGCAAACACAAAGGCGAGCGTGCACAGTAGGCCTGCAATAATTCAAGCCTGGTGACGATAAGTTACGGGCGATTTTGAAAGTGATTTGTTTGCATAACTGATCGCTCAGGTGTGGACCTGGATTTTAGATCGGTGTGTGTGGTTTAGAGGTTGTACCCGTTGGGGAGGGCATCTCGGATCCGGGCGATGAGTCCCATCGAGGGGTCCACGCGCAGGTACACACTCCCCACCGTGCCGACGGCGACCACCATCCAGCTTGATGGGTGCACAGGGTAGAGCCCTGTCAACACGGTATTCTGTGGCCCACGGGAGCACGCACACAAACACACATACATGCGTATTCAACATGTTTGAGGGTAATGAGACAACATTGTAGACGCGTGGGTAAAGGCCTTCCAGCTGCCGACCTCCGGTTTCTTGGGTTGACACGGCTGTCCACCAATGATGTTGCCGCTGCCCAAACCAAACTCTCTCTCTGCTCCTCCCCTCCGTTTTCCTATTGCTGGGACCAACTCTCACACTTGCTCCCAACCCATTCCGGTCCTCTCCCTCGCATCATCGCTCCTCAACCCTGTCGCCTCCCGCCTCTTGCTCCGGGCCCCGTCTACCACCAGGGTCACCCTGGAACTTGTCGATGGTGCTTCGTTGCCTTCGCCCTTGGTTCTCATTGCAGAAGGGCCTAGGCCTCTGACTGAAACGATCCCTGTGACTTGTTGGTGAACGACACCAGCCCTCTCCAAGAATTCCCTGCGACTCACTGGTAAAGGGTCCTAGCACCCCCTAGTATGCCAACCTATCCCCCAGGGGCAAGTTGGTGCTACCTTGGCTGCTCCAGCGGACCCTGGGGCTCATTGTTTTTGTTGTTGGAGGTGCTGGGCTCTGATTGCTTCTTCAAGGCTGTGCCATAATGTTTCCCTGACCCAACTCCTCCCGCGCCCCCAACCCGCCTCAAATCTGCCCCAATGTATATTAAAAGTCTGCGAAATGTCTTGCATTTAGACACTGTTATATAAATTTAAACAGTTGCATTTGACAAGGCGTGCGAGATCGGACATAAAGAAGGGCAAGGCAGGACAGGGCGGCATTGTGGGGTAGAGCCGGGCAGGGAAAAGTATAATGTATAGTCAACTCTCGATGATCTGTCCCAAATGTTTTAATGTTTATATATGTAAAGCAAAGCTGCAAAGTACAGGCCAAATTTCCCAAAACGCCACTAAGCCAGGAACAAACAGTATAATGACCTTTGTAATAGAGAGTTGACAAGCTTTTTGAATTGAGCAAGGCAAAGGAACTCGGGGGGGGGGGGGGAGACAAAGGGAGGGAATTCCAAAGTCGAGCAGTGTGAGGGAAGAATCAGAAGAGCATTGTGACCTGCAGTACGGTGGTTGAACACAGTATAGACGAGACGAAATAGGCAGTCTGGTAGACCGAGTCCTCAATATGGGAGGCGGAATCAAAGAGTGAAGTTCACAGAAAACAAAAAACATGGATTATGCAAACAATTGTAAATTAGGCTATAAAATCGCATTCATCATTTACCAACAGAGCGGTAGGTGAATACGCAGAAGGCGTGATAAAAAATGTTACCCTGACGTAAAGAGTTTAATTGCCGGCGTGTTTGTGGTCACGTGGGCCGAGGAATTAACGAGCGAGGACCAAGTAATAAATAGTTACACGAGCTTGCGTGGGGAAATATTTATTTACTTATTTCACAAGCACAATCCTGACAATCCACCCAGGGATAATCAATAGATCAACAGCAATCATGGTGGATGTGGTAGAGCGCAAGGTGGAAAAACAGTGCAGAGGACAAAGCGGTAAGACCTAGCAAGGAAGGACAATGTTTTGGAAATGTGACAGGGCAGATTAAGGAACGATAAGGACGAGATAAACCGAGGGATAGAAAGAGTAGAGCGAAACAAGACACGGCCCCAGTGGCAGTGCGTTTGTCGCTTGCCCCAAAGGTTTGTGGGGTTCAATCTCCTAGCTACACTCGTTAATACTGCATGTGTATCGAGAATAAATATTCACCGTCTGCATCACAGTGGATGTCACTTTTACACAAAAGTAGAGGCCAAGTGTGCCGGCGTCATGGTCTAAATTTCCCGTGTTTGAAAATTACAGATTAATTAATTGGAATAACCAATCTCAACATCGCCCCATGCTTAACACAAACGTTTTATACAACGGCTTGTAATCCAATTCAACTCGTGAAGGCGCCCATAGTGACATCTTCGGAGAAGAAATGCCGATCGCGAGACCCATCACCCCCCACCGCTGACAAGACTAATGCACGCCTGCAGGCCAGTGCCACGTCACCTTGTGCCGCACAGGGACAGCTGCCATCAGGGACTCCCCTAGGCTAAAAATAGAAATGTGCGGCTGGCCATTGGAATGGTTACGATGACAATGTGAAGCAAGGCAGGTCCGAGCCACAGCAAAACGCAGGAGCTGCCATATTTGCTGGTGCAGAAAGGGAAGGCAGCGGATGGAGGAGGGAGCAGGTACCTTGATGGAGGTGACGCGGCGCCTCCAGTTGCGAGCCCCCGATAGCCACACCTGCTTGAGCGCCTCATGGCAAAGCCGCAAGTCGATGCCATCCGGGGTCACCGTGAACTGGAAGGCCACAGCCTGGTGGGCTTCTGCCATGACCGCGGCTCACCCCACGCAACTAAACAATGAACTATTGTTTTGACTTGTAAAGTTTGTTCTTCTGTCGTGTGTAAAGAAGTTTTCCTAGAAATATTCTATATTTTGTTATATATTGGTCTTCAATGGTATAAAAAGTTGTATTTTTTTGTTATGTTTGTTGATTGCTACTCTTTAAAACGTAGATGTGGTCAGGCTGAGTCGGCAGCTGAATTTCCTTCTGTGGAATAAAAAAAACACAATCGTCACAAATGTATAAAGTTAATAAATAAATAAATACATAGGTTTGATGAAACAAAGTAGTTACGTACTTACGTGTCCGTGCTTAATATGCGTTTTCGATTATTTACCTTCTTTAAAAAATCTGGCATGTCTCGCACCCCCAGAAAGGGCATCTCTCACCCCCAGGGGGTGCATACACCATAGGTTAAGAACCACTGCTTTACACCATTAACCATGGTTAACGACTGCTAGATAAAGGCCTCTCCAAGTTACCAACACCTCTCACAAATCTTGCACTGTATCAATCCACCAAGCACCAGCACGTGGACAAATTTCATCGCTCCATCGCCTTGGTAGACATCTTCAGACAAGTTCCACTCTACATATTCAGTTTGAAACCACAAAAATAAAAACAAAACCAAGACTTGCTAACAATGAACACCAAAGCTTATTTCAACTAAAATGTCACACGTATTGCACTATGTACTTTTTCACGCAAATATTTGCTCAACCAGTGCACGTCTTTATCGGCTTCATTTCTTCGCAAGTCGGCCTCCGCAGAGAGGCAAGTCATTACACTGACCTCATGTGTTCATTGCGGGGTGCGGTAGCGCAGTGGTTCATGCACTGCACCATGAACCCAGTGACCCAAGTCAGATTCCATTCCAGAATTAAAATCAGCAGCAAGCGGCACTTGAAGCTGTGCTGGAACTCGTCTAGGTTAACTCGGCCTTAATTAACAAAACGCTCAACAACAACAAGATGTTCGTCGGCAACCCACTGCTCTGAAAAGTATATATATAAAAAAGAGGTTATGTTCTGGGAAATGGATCTTTTGCAATGCACTTTTTCTTGTTTGCCAAATAATTTGCTTAAATAGGAACACAATGCGGTCTGTAAATATTAGCATTGGGCAGATTCTCACGGAAATTCGTCTCAGAATCTCTTCAAACAACCATCTCATCTCGACTTTCCCACGACAATTTCGGCCGGCAATGTTTTTCGCATACTTATAATTCTAAATCCAGTGATTGTCTCAGTATATTGTATGACTTTATACTAGATTAAGTTGTGTATTATAAAATGTTTATACAAGCGATAATTACGGGTTTGCAATACATCGATTACTTGCAAAGGAGATATGCAATCTGATTTCAATGGATTATCCAGGTAAAATATTTGTACAATTTTTTTTAAAGTCAAATATTAACTCCATTTCAGCAACCCTGTACATCCTAGTCCATAAACTAATCATCATGAGGCGCATTTGTGGGAAAGTTATGTTACAAACATAGGTAAATATTACTTAACCACAATTTAACGGCGACAGGGGGCGCCAAAGTTACATATGACGCTGCTACTGGGAAGTTGGAGGTAATCGCCCTCCAGTAACAACGAGAGGGCAGACGAGCGACACTCAAAACATCGAGCGGAGTTTCGATTTAAAGCTTTCGTGACTGCAAGGATTCATCTTCTTTGGTTCTTTCGGTAAAGTCACGTAGAATGAGAATAAAATATAGCTATTTCTGTGACCAGTCACAAGCTAATCCCTAAACTGTTTCAATGCTAAATTCTCCTGTTTGATATGTAAACCCCCTTTGTCAAGGTGCCTCACTTCTCTCAGCCAGCTTAAAAGACGCTGCGAATCTTAGCAGCGTTCATTATAGCTCTGTCGTCCCGACAGGTTTGTTCCTTTCACCTGAAGAAGGCCACTTGTGTTGTGGCCGAAACGTCGCGAGAATTTTTTTGTTTTATTTTATTACTTTATTCTCATTCTACGTGGTGACTTTACCGAAAGAACCAAAGAAGATCGAGCGGAGTGCCGGGTGGCTAAAAAGCAGCAAGTTGGCACAGCTGGTGCATCTATCAGCCATCTCAGTCAGCCAACCCGTGGCACCTGGGTCTGTCCCCCGAGACCTTCTGTCAGCGAGCTCTTCGATACTTCACGTGGCCTCCAAGTGCACCTGGCCTGGCACAGGCGCCGTGGGGACGTCATCGTCACTTGGCGGCGAATGGCGGGTGTTGGTTATTGGCTGCACCCCAATGTCAGGCTGGCACAAGCGGCGCAGAACCCGGTGAAGAGGCTCGATAAGAGAATGTCGAGATGTGGTGGGCGCGAGAATCTATCTCGGCGATGCGAAAGCCCTTGCCATGGGATCACTATTGACTTATATTGTTGGTTCTTTCGGTAAAGTCACGTCGAAGGGAAATAATATCAATCATCATCAGGTGTGAAAACCACAGCGGGAAAATTTGAAAAAAGTTTCACATTTTCTCGCTGTGGTTTTCACACCTGATGATGATTGCTTGTGTTGCAATCGAAACGTCGTGAGAATTTTGTTTTATTTTTATTATTGTATTATTTCCCTTCTACGTGACTTTATCGAAAGAACCAAGAATATGAATCCCTGCAGTCACGAAAGCTTTAAATCATTATTGACTTGCCCATGTGTGTCACAGCCCGAGGTAAGTTGATATGAAATAAACACGTGAACAGCAATTATAATTCCCGCCTTTCAGAGAGATAGACAAAATGTGGCACACGTTAACATAAGGAACAATTCTCACGCAAAATTAAGGATTAATACTTTCTAAATGTATTTGATTGTGACAACTGCGCCTCAACTTATCGGTGAGCTATAAGAATTCGAATTGGTGGCTAGCCAAGGGTATTGCTATTTTATCCAGACATAATCACGTCAAAGAAGACGGGCGTGTTTACCATATTGGGATTACAATAAATGGCCAAAAGCAATGTCTCAATGTCACGTAAAACACTCAAGCGGACTGCTTTTACCATAATAATAAAAAAAACAAATAATGATGCCGGAGACGACCGTTTTCGTGAATGGCGAGGGGCTGTAATTTCCACCCCACCTCCACCCAACTTCGAAGAAAAAAAAATGAAACATACAGAACTATATGCCAGGGGATTTGATTGGTCAAGGGACTAGACTGCAACATGGGAGGGGCGTAGGAAAGAGCTGTAGGAGGAGAGAAGAGGGCGGAAGGAGAGTGAGGTAAGCAGGGAGGAGGGGACCTGAAACCTCCCATGCCCTCTCCCCTACTTCTGTTTTTAGAAGCACGTGGCCCCCTCCAGCGCCTGCCTGCGTGCCTTACCGAGACAAATGCATTTGGACGCATTTGGGCTGCGACAAACACGGCCGAGCTGGCCCTTGTACAATCATCTCCTGAGCTGGGGGTGCGCGCCCTCTGAAATGTATCCATTACACACAGTGAATAGGATGGGCAGAGAATCAAGTTGAGACAATCTAGAGACTGTGGATTTGAACAAGAGAGGAACGCACAATCGGGAAGCGTATAAGCAAGGCCGTTAAATGATAAAGCAATGGCGCACACCTTTCAATCTGAATACGAGTCGCTTGGGTATTTAATATATTAAAAACACTTTCATATTTATGCGTGGAGAAACATATCAAAGAAACCATATAGGCCGCTTATCTATATGTTGTTACTTATGTCCTCCGAGACGATGCTAATGATTCTTATTTTCACGGTGATATCATCGGGCAGTTAAGATGAATGAGATATCGCATTGTTATTGATAAACGGAGAAGGGGTGGGGGAGGGGGCTGAGAAGAGCAATTGTCGTTGGCTATTATTGCACCAACGAAGCTTGCACAGTCGAGACATCCGTGCGCATCCAAGGCAAAGGTGATTAAGGGCCTGAGATGATCTCCCTGCGCACCTGGAGTCCGTGCACGTCCACGAACAACAAGGTCAACCACCGCCTCGTAACCCCCCCACTCTCAGCAATGTCACAAAGCCGCGGTGCACTGTGGGAGCACCAGGGGGGGGGGGGCGTGTAGTAGTGTTCAAACACGTGGGATTCGGTGCATGCTGTGGAATTTACAACACGTCATGCTTGTGGTACCTTGCCCTGCAGTCGGAAGCCAGGTTAAGAGAAGCGAATCAAGATTTTTTTTGTTTAAATTACATTTTAAGTGAAGTGAACTTAAACCAGTTTAACGCGTATGCTTTCGTGACAAATATTATCCATAGTAGAACTAACCCAAAAAAAACCTTTCATGGATCAAAAAAAACGTTGCATATCAACCCATCACCCGAGCTATGGACGAAGTTTGTGGGGGGGGGGGGGGGGCCCGGCACGGGGGGGCAAAGCCCCTACCAAACTGGACACCTTCACTAATTAAATTTTCAGTAGTTTACAATAAAGATGAAACATGAATTAATTAAATGCGATTCCTAATGTGTGGCACAAAGCGACCCCCCCCCCCTTCCCCAAATATACAAGTCAAACTCCACCTATGACCCTAGCACCGATGAATGAGCCAGCAACTAGGTACACAACAGCGGCCGCGGGTGGTTTTTGCCACGCGTCTTACTTTTTGAATACAATTGTGACGAATGCGGCTGCAGCAGCGCCTTTGCTGAGATTGTACACATCTAAGCGCACGCGATATTACAAATGGCACGGTGGCATAAGCCTGCTGTGCTGAACAGGCCAAGCACATTTATTGGGCTGGATAGGGCCAAGGACATTTGTAGGACGCCACGCTTCACACACGTCAGGCCCGTGTGTGACGCATGGCCTACAAACCATTCATGGTGTCAGGTTGCCTCAAAACACGCAATTACGTAGAGAACATTTCCAAAAAAAAAAACCCCCGAGGATCAAAATACTTCGTGAAAACAGGCAAAAGCAACCACAGCAAACCAAGTGGGCCGAGCACACAAGCATGACCAAAGCAGTGGTGGGGGGCGGGGGGGGGCACGCGTAAATACCCCGGACACAAACACGCATACAAAACCCGTTCTCGACAAGCGCATCGCTGAACACTAGACGTGCAGAAACGCCAATTCTATTTTACATGTGCCCATTTGGTGCCTTCCGAAACAAACACTGTATGGGAGTTGGCATGGCTAGATTTCAGCAGGGGACGTTTGATTTCTAACAGGAGGGCCCCCCCTATTACCCCAGGGCACCACCGTGGTTACTGCCCTGGGTCCGGATGC